GATTTATAGTCATTTTGATGCATTTATTTGTTCCCAGTAGAAAATATAACTTTAATACTATGTAATGAGACTAGAAGTTTGGTATAGCAAATTCCAACAAAAGGGTACTATACGCCCGTAAAATGTGAGTAGCAGAAAAGTGAGATTATTTGTCTCTTCGTTACTTTGGATCAATATTAAGTGGATTTTGCAGCCTTGCACGTTAACTAGAACCTAGATAATTTGACATTAGGGATAGAGCATGACTAGTGTGAATTTTCGAAAAAAGTTTGTTAGCTCTGCTTCTGAGTTATGATAAGATATAGAGAATCATTTGTATTTCCGTTGAATTCATTCACGGAAGGTTGAAGACATGATTTTCATTGTTGCACGAACATAAATATTGAAAAAGACTGCTATTACAGTGCGAACTTGTCGTTTGCAATATCGACAGAACTAAGATAAGTGTCAGCAACATAATTCTTGACACCTATATATCTTCGTGATGCTACTTCGGTAATAAAGTGAATGGTTCACACTTAGATCAGTGTAATTGGACAAAACATTTTGTGCAACAAAATTATTCTGATCAGAGTGAAGAAAAATATTCCACCGAGGCTAAAGAACTGATCAAAAATGAGTGACCTTTCTTTTGACTCAACCATGGACGTTAGTTATACCATAGCACGTATGAATTCCTGTATTATCCAAATTAAAAGTCACAAAACGACTCAACTTAACAAGTTACTCTAAGTCCAAAGCTGCTGAATAAGTGTCCTTGAAGGTTCAACTCAAATTTGAACATAACTACAGTAAAACCTCTCTTAAGTGAACACTCTCGGGACTTTTGAAAAGTGTTCAGTGTTAAGAGGTGTTCACCTATGGGAGATATCATCTATTTTACTACACTATGGGGTTAGGTTTCAGACAATAAGCTTCTTCACCAGTTCTTAGATAATTGGAAAACATTTTCTATTTATCTTATCTTCTATCATTGAAATTTATTCCAAGGGAAAAATTCTTTCACAAAAGGCAAACCACTAAGCTTTTTTGCAGAAACTTCTCTATAGTTCTTCGTCTTTGTTGTTTTGACACAATAAAAATATCGATTAATTTTGGTTCTGAATTCTTTCATAATCGTATAAATTTGTTTTCCTCGTTTTAATACATTAGATACAGAACCAATTTGATATATGGTATTTTTCGTCTCATTTACTTTTTGATAAGCCATTATCACTACTGCTATCATTAATTAGTTGAGTTTTTTCTTTTGATATAAGATTATGTCGAGAAGTCATGTGTCGACTGGTATTTACAGTTGTAACAAACAATAAATAACTATTTTTTGTGAACTAATGAGAAACGATAAAGAGGAGAGAGAGAAAAACTACGTGTGCTCATCTAAGAGGAATTATAACAAGAATCGGGACTGTAAAACAGTGTTCAAGTTCAGAATTGAGAGGTGTTCACTAATAGAGGTTTCACTGTATTTGGAAAACATTCAAAACGAGCCTTTGATCTCTACCCATTACAGACCAGATTTTCGAAGAATATCAAAAAATTAGTCTGTATAATTCCATATCCGGTCTCTTAGCAAGCTTCTCTTGTGGAATCCGTCTCATATAAATTGTTTTTAACTCATACTGGTCAAACTTAAATTCGAACTTGAATAATTGAAGTTCCAGCATCATTTTGACACTACCAAAATGTACAAATACTATTATGGATGACTTATATCAGTGAGATGTACATGTTTGGAAAATTTCTAGAGTATGAGACGGATTTTTCGAATGGGGTCAAATCGTTGTGAAAATATTTTCCGTTCCTTTGAATTAGCAGATATGAGGAGTGATAGAAAGCCAGAAGATGGTGCGAGGAAGTAATGCCAAAAACATTTGTTTTATAATTTTTAGGACATTTCATGGAATCCACGTAACGAGAGTCGAAGTTAACTTTTGATTTTTCGATAGATTTTATCAAAACACCTAAATATTTCTTTTTGGAAGTTGACCGTTGAGAGGCAAACAAAAAATGATTTGGTCTACATGAAAGAGAAAAGCTAGTAAAATTCACTCGGATGCAAACTAACCGAAAAGCACTCATCCAAATTACAAAATCGAAGCCAATAAAACAGACTTTTCGAGTTTCAGTGTGCTGATGAGAGTGATTGAGTTTCTGCATAGGTGTGGGCTGGTTGTGTTTGGACGTTCGTGTGAGTGAGAGGAAGATGAACACCTATCGTCATATCTTCAGCTCTTAGCCAGTTCTATTTTACCACAACATGCGGTTTTAGATTTTGGTAAAACATTAAAGAATGCCAGGAGCACAATGCTGTTGGATATGTCACTAGCATGCGGTTTCGTCAGTATGATCGACGTGAAATCATGCTGCACAGTGTTCCATGAAATGTTATATACGTGGAATTATTGAGCTTAAAGTACCTTGTCGAAGCAATTATGACATGTGATTTCATTTATTTGGTTTGAGAGTAGAATATTTAAAAGAGCTTCCATAGTTAACAGGGTACATCCATCATCGCACTGATGCTAAAATTCACTTTGAACTCGATCTTTCATAGCAAAATGTTCTGTTCTGAAAAAAGAAGACCAAGCTCTCTCAATGATATAGTTAGCATCAAAGAAAAAGTAAAATGATCCAGATTTTCTAGCCAGACGGATGTCGAGTGATAAAATCGAGCGAATGATAAAATGATGACAATTGAGATTCCCCGCCTCAAAAATGAATCTCAGTTCGGGAACATTCGAATGGCATGAAGTTTTCAGGATATGTTGAGACTGGCGTGGGAAGGCTACAGTAAACTTGTCAGCCCCATACCACAATGTTTGCGAGAGATATTGGCGAAATAAGAGTCAAAAATAGCTCACTTTGTCTCCAAGAATTCTATGCTTTTGCAGTCTATATATTAAATGTTTTTTTGTTTGAAAGAGCATGTCAGAACGCAGTGCCTATGAGAGTTTTCTTTTTTAATACTCTTACTTTTTAAGGGAGAAAAGGATCGACAGTTCAATGGCTCAAAAAAACTTTCTAATCGGGCGTTCTAACTATATAATTGTTTGTATATAGAATAAAAGCAAAGCTTAATAAAAAAAACCGGCTTTCATAAGCACTCCCATTTTACACTCTCTTTGAAACAAAAAATATTGGCTACAATGAAGCTCCTTCGAGAATTTTTGGAAATGCAATCGACACCTTATAAAACGAGAAAAAACGAAAAAGACTTTCGGTTTTTTTCAATAACAGCTGATTTTTCGAATAGGAGATAACGGAAATCTTGAAAAATTTTTGAAAAAACAAGTTGCTGAGTAAACATTTTGTTCTTTATGAAAGATCAGATCACGGACTACCTTCCTCAGCATTTACCTTAAGTTCGATCATTCTGACGAAAAGTGACTTTTTTGAGAAAGTCTCAAAAAAGAAGAATGCGGTTTTAAGCAAAGCAGGATGTTTCAAATTCCTTTTGAGCGAAACTATCGAATGGTGAAGACACTGAAGAGTATAGAGGTGAATTGGTGTTAACGTGGCTATAGCCAAGCAAGTCACGATTTTGTAAAACTAAACGTCTAACGCTAAAGAGTTGTCTTCCCTAAGCATTTCAGCGCGTGTAGAAAAAATTGGTCGCATAAACATCAGGGAGTTCAAGTTTTGAGCGTGAACGCATACGAAGTATTTTTATCGAATACAGATAGGTGTGTCAAAGCTCAAAAAACTTTGTTTTATGAACATGTTCACGCTCGTTCGATGTCCGACGCGTTTCAATCACACGAAGGTCTAAATTTGGCGCATTTTTTAATAGCACTTTTACTGTCATTATTGTAGCGATAATTGATAACCGTGTGATTACTTGAAAAATAAATATTTTGATCGTTTTTTCATACCAATATTTTTGTCATTATTTATGTTCACAATCACGTAATTATTAGCGTCCTTCGATGTAAACATTATGAATGTTGGAATGATCAGAATCAGATAATGATGAGAGAATTAAGAAAGATAATTTTTGACTCTCAAAAATTCGCTTTTTTATACAATTTTCAATTGACTTTTATTCTCTAAACAACTGTTCGCACGTATGACATTATATTTTTATAGCGTTAAAGAGCAAATAAAAAGAGTTTTGTGAGCGCTGAAAAATTCAAAGCTCGAGCATGATAACGGACACATTTATGTGTCACACAGTTACTTTTAGTTGTATGGGTCGATGAAATGCTTGTTTTTTTTTCAACAAGAAATGCATGCAAGTTATCATAGTTGGTACGGATTAATTGATCCGTATTCGATGCTTGCCTCTTTTTTATTCATATTTTCATGATAATATGAATTTGTATGTGACATACAATTTAATAAGTCAAGCTAGAAAACTGCCGATATCGAAAGGACGACCAAATATTCAAGGTAACTGAAAATTTTATTTTGACTTCGGCTGATACTCATGCATAAGTTTGCAATAAGAAAATTGAAGTTCACCGTAGAAAATCGATCGATTCTACAGGGTGATCCGAAAGTAACTCCCTATTTTAAATTCTTTATAACTTTGAAAATACAAAAGATATCGTTCTGATTTTTTCATCATTTTGTAGCATAGACTATGGCATTTTGTTCTAGATGAAATAAACTGATTAATTGTCTGAAGCCCTAAGATGAACCATAAAGTTGGTCTAAAAAATGCGTGAACATGACTCATTATTTTGAGTAGTTTATTATTCTTATGCGAAAACATATATTCTAACAACTTTTCTTTACTGTTTTCAAAAGTATCTAAATTACTAGCATGCAGTGCCTCAAATTTCCACATAGGCACCTTCGTTGTCGATACACTTGTGTAATCGAACTTCAACATTGTTGATTGAATTCTTTAGAAATTCTTGTGGAACATTGCTAAGGACAGTACGAATTCGTTCTTCCAATTCCATGAAAGTTCTTGGATTCGTTTTATATATCTCTTCTTTTGCCCAACCCCAAAGAAGAAAGTCACACGGAGTTAGATCCGGACTTGTTGAGGGCTATGATGTTGGTCCTCGTCGACCTATCCATTTCGAAGGAAAATGATTGTCAAGCCAATTCCGGACTGTACGAGTATAGTGTGCTGGAGCACCATCGTGCATAAATATGAGTTCATCAATGTTGTTCCATTGACTGATTGTAGGCCATACAAAACTTTCTAACATCTCCAGATATCGTTCACCATTCATGGTATCACGTAACAGATATGGACCAATAAATTCCGTTGAAGTAAATCCACACCACACTAGGATTTTTGGTTGTGATTGCATCCTTTCAATTGTCATACCTGGATCTTTATTAGCCCAATAATGACAGTTATGCCGATTGACAAACCCTTCAACATGGAAAACAGCCTCATCTGACCATAAAATATTATCAAACAGTTCAGGCCAGTCGTCTTTCCAACTAAGCATAATTTCACTGAATTCCATACGAATGTCACAGTCTTCTGGAAAAATCTGTTGTACTAAGTGAGGTTTCCATGCACGATAGTGTAGTTCTTTTGTCAAAACAGTATGAATGGTGCGATATGACAAACCGCTTCCTATCGAGGCTGTTCTAATGGAGGTCTCTGGACTTCGAGTGAATATTGCTTGAACGGTATTAACAACTTCTGGTGCGTGAGAGGTTGAACGTCTTCCAGAGCGTTCCATGTCATATACCGAACCAGTTGTCATCAGCTTCTGATGACAATTTTTGATGGTTTTTGCATCAAGTGTCAAATGTTTGCCGCGTTGATTCCTCCACCACCTTTGTACTTCAATCACCGACTGCCACATCTCATATCGAGTCGCAATTAATACTCGATCTTGAATACTTAAACGCTTAGGCATATTAATTTATCTAAGCCCAAATGATATTATACGTTAAATAATGAGAACTTCTTATGATATTTGTTGTCGTGTAGAATTAATCAATGATTTCTATTAGAGTTTGTTTTCTCTAAGAAGTGTCTATTCTTTTTGTTTTATTGCGCTCTGGGCTGTGTATATGTACACGTGTACTTGTTTCTATTTTTCTTTTTCTCTTTCTGCCGATGTATAGTCTCATGTCCTTTTCTTTTTTCTGTTCGTCTACGAGAAATGTTGATATTCTCAAATTCTTTTATCTTGTGCCCCTGTTCTACTTTTTACTGTTAGCTTTTACGTATTGCGCAGTTATAAAAGAAATATATAACATAGTCCCTCTCCCATTACCATCTTGCGAAGTAAAGAAATAAAACCATTGTTCTTATTATTCTGGCTGTTACTACAGATGTGCCTTGGTAACAGATTCAAAACAATGAGTCATATTCACGCATTTTTTAGACCAACTTTATGGTTCATCTTAGGGCTTCAGACAATTAATCAGTTTATTTCATCTAAAACAAAATGCCATAGTCCATGCTACAAAATGATGAAAAAATCAGAACGATATCTTTTGTATTTTCAAAGTTATAAAGAATTTAAAATAGGGAGTTACTTTCGGATCAACCTGTAGTGTATATTTATTCTGCATCTAAATTCTGTTTTAAAATAGAAGATGCGACCGAAAATTTGACTTGAAAAACAACCGCAAATCCTCAAATTGATCTTATGCTTGCCGATTCGCACCATCTTCTTTTTTTCGGGTTAGCTCGCATCCAATTCTTTTACGGAATGCAGATGAATGATTATGTAGTTAGAAACGATCACTTATTCCCACCTCTGTAGCTTTGTGATTTTGAGCTCACTCCAAACAATTCTCTCTCGATGGGCTTTAGTAAGTAATGACTTTCACAAAAGTCAATTATATCCTGTTCCTGTTTTGTTCAAGCATTGTGGTACAATCGCCTCATTGATTATTGCATGTTTCCTTTTCAACTGGTTTCTAATACATTGGCTTGTGATGAACGTCTGTTGTTCGGCGACGTAAATAATTTTTTGATCATTCTGAGGGGTTGTTGCACGCGATCGATCTCGAAGAATGGATCACTGAAATCTTCTGGTTGCTTTCACTTCTTAAGCCAATATTTCATGATCGTTAAATCGCAATGGGCTGCTTTTACCATAGAATCATGGCTGAGCTTTGGATCCATTCAATGTTAAGAAAAAGATGCAGTTAGCGCAATTCGTAATGGATTCAAATGTAAAAAAGATGTAGCTGTCTTTGCTAGGCGTAGGAATATTGGATTGTTTTATCTATTTTGCGAGATATTTCTTCTCCATTACTTCAGTAAATCCTCCAGAAATGCAATACGAAACTAGTTCATATATTATAACGAGACGTTATCGATATATGGCTCTTGATCGTGTATTAACGACATTTCTCACCATCTGTGACAGAGATAAGAGACGTTGTTCAAGTCTCTGTCTCAATCTTTGGGTGAAAGGAGAAGGGGGG